ACCAAAACATTCACTGCATGTGAATCAATCACTGTCATTTAAAACACCTGTACCAGGAAAATATACCTACAGGGAATATCAAGACAACTGGACTTGCTGTATATTTCTTACATTTGCTGGTCATCCAGCCAGCTTTCTCAATTCAGAAAGCTGATTCTGACGTTCATTCTGAATTGAGGAAACTGGTCGGATGATGAGCGAAAAACATCTTCAAGATAAATACAGCAAGTCCAGTTGCCTTGATTTATTTTTTTACAGATATACCATGACCTGGATGAATGAGAACATTCACACACCTACAGGGAATATTTGGTGAAAGCAGAAGCATAGAGTTATTATCCATTTAAAAGGAGAACTATGAGGTGAGTGCTTTTGACTCACCTCATAGTTCTAGCCGACCTGTGACAATGAGACTGTCACAGGTCGGCTCAGTAGATCGGGAGGTGAGCGAACACATACCGGCGTTCGCGCGCCGCTCGATCCGGTCACGGCTCGCGTTATACCGAGCTTAGGGTGACGGGAGGACGCTAGTTTGTGTCCTCCCGTTACCCTAAGGAGAACTATGGGGAAAAACACTGACCCCATAGTTCTCCTTTAACTGACACATGCTGACCTGGGCAGCTAGGCGTTAATGATCTCTGGTCATATGTAATGAGCAAATATGTCTTCATGTGTTCTTCATATATCATTACAAACTATACAATTAAGGTTTGTAACACACACACACACACACACACACACACACACACACACACACACACACACACACACAGATTATTACATACAATAAGCTGGTCACTCGCTCAGACAATGAGAATAGACATTTAATACATAGTATCAATGTTTAGCCAAAATTATAAATAGCCTGTAAACATTCAATATATTGCAGGTATAACATTTATTAAATGACACCCCCAATAAGGGCCCCTCCCAGGGGCCACACTTTCCAAACATGTTTTAATGTAGCAATAAACCTTTGTGTTTTTCAAGTGATGTACCAGTGTTGAATGAGTAAAGTGCTCCTGTTATTGAAAAGTGACCATGTTTGTTGATTAGAACAAAGAAACTGTCCGCATTCACACATTTCAAATTGTAAGTAAAAGTAATAATAATAATAATACTAGTAATAATAACAACAACAATAATATAGTAATATTACTAATAAGGAGAATATAACAGAAGTAAATAAGTTGTTATTGTCTCCTATTAACTGTATGAACTGTTGCTAAAGCTCTGCTGCCACCTTGTGGCAAAACATGATCATTACCACGCACAGTCATACACACTGCACAGCATTACAGTAAATTTAATGATTTAAAGCCCAACAGCAGCCAGAACTTTTTATTTTGTTTTGGATTTGTTTTTGTTTTGGAAAGGGTTAGGGACTCTGTCAGGGTTTCAGGTTTTATTGCTCTCTGTGACTCCACTGTGAAGATTAGCACAGATAGAGGAGAGGAGCACAGATTAAAAAAAATGAAACATATTTTCAGTCGAGGAAGCAAGAGTTAAAAACTTCCATCAATATTTTTTTTTTTTTGCAGTCTGCCTTCCTGTCCTGCTGACGATTGCACCCCTTTCTCTTATATGGGCGACACAGGGACAGGAAGTAATGGGAAATCTCTCCTATTTTACAACTTCACAACTTACAACTTCACAACCAAAAAAACGTTATCTAGTGTTAGGTTTTAACTTCTCATATTCCACCCAGGTGGCACCGTTTTATAGAATGTCTAGAGGTATTTCTGCTCTACATTTGACAACCAAAAAACAACTGCATTTTCAAAAATGTTTCACTAGTATGGGCTCCAGTGTCATGCCACTTCTAAATAAACTAGGCACTATCCCTGCCCCCATGGCAGAACCACGAGACTGAACACTGAAATACATTGTGAAGGATTGACTGGGAGCACAGAAAGCTTTGTGCTATAATGCGCAACTAGAACTGGTTTACAGATTACATTGCACCAAATGTTAGAGGATTTGTTACATTTTTATTTGCCGAGCTCCCAAGTCAGCCATTCGCCATTCTCCTACCGCTTGCCTACAATTTGATCTTTGTAATCGCTTAACCACTTCCAGCGGGTTCACGTAAAAACACGTCCTCCGCTGGAAGTGGTTATACCAAGCACGCGGCTGCTGCCGATTGCTGTTTAAATACAAGTGATCCTGCGTCTGTACAGTTGTCGGATCGCTTGTACTGTGCGGCACCGTGTGTGTCCCCTCCTCCACCGCCGGCTTCCTGGGCTCCGCTATCCCCGTGCGAGCCCGGGACCAGCGTGGCGGGTCTCCCCTTATGGATCAGAGGGAGACCAGCAGGCTTCCAGCCGCTGATCTCTCCTCCAATCACTGGACCCGGAAGTGGTCTGCATTACATCACTTCTGGTGTCACTGGGAACATTCTCTGGTTCATCAGCTTCTTTGGGGTCCCTAGGTGACGTTAGGGGTCTGAAAGACCCCTGATGTCTCCATAAAGAGGACCTGTCACACCCTATCTGCTATTATATAGGGTGCTTGTTAGCCCCCTTTGTGATAGCAATAAAGTTGTGTAAAAAAAAAAAATGTTAAAAATGAAAAGTAACAAAAAAAAATAAAAAAATGCAAAAAAAAAGTAAAAGTTCTCTGCCCCCCACGTGCACGCACATACAACGTAAACACGCGTCGGATGTGCCTACGTGCAAAAATGAAAGTTGCGCCACATATGTTACATATCATCGTGAGCGTCCGAGTGCGAGCAATCATTCTAGGCCCATCAATCACTGTTAGCACTAAACTGATTAGCCGTTAAAGCATCGCTTATGAGAAAATGTTGGTTATTGTAGTTTTTGCGGTTTCACGGACGCACACAATTTTACGGCTTGACATGTTTGGTATCTATTTACCCGATGTGATCGCGTCTTTTATATTTTACCAAAAAATTGTGTATTATATTCTGTTTCTGTGCACTAAATTTAATATTAGCGTATTTTATCCTAAAAATACCGGTTTGATAAACATTTGCGCAAATACCGTGCAACATAAAAAATTGCAACTAGCATCTTTTTATTCTACAGGGCCTCTGCTTTCAGAAAATATATAATTGTTTGGGGGTCTGGAGCTGTTTTCTAGCTAAAAATTCAGATTTTATCATGTGTGTGCAAATGTTAGAAAATGCTCTGGACGGCGAGTGGTTAATGTGTTACCGTGCATCGCCTGGAACCGCCATGAAGTCAAGGTACAGACTAAACCGCTAATTTATAAATGTCCCACCCAGCCATATGCTGAGCGAATGCAGTTTGCACTGCGTTTCCACCACTAGATGGAGCTGAGGAGCATAGGAATTCCTATGCTCCTTGGCTCCATCTAGTGGTGGTATTGAAATATGAATGGCGCTCACCCAGCGTATGGCTGGGTGAAGCATTTATAAATCAGCCCCTAGGTGTTTGTTGAAAAGTGCACTTAAAAAATAAAAAGAAGTCCCATTTACCAAAAATGTAAAGTTTGTGCTTCTTTTAAAAGTTCTATCTCAGATATGCCTGAAGTTCCCACACCGGTACAGATAGATGTAGATAGATTCGGGTTCACATCTATGAAGCTGAATGCAGTTCACTGCTACTGTTATCCTACTATATAAAGCCCCCCCCAGCGGCTGTGTGCAGTGGCCTGGGCAGGAAGTCATCTGAGTGTATAGAATTGTCTCCCCCCCAGGACCAGAACTTTATCTCAGTCATTCTAAAACTAAATGGCCATCTCCAGCCAGAGCACATATATGATATTTTGCTCTTGTTTAAAGGCATTGTTTTACTTTTTACCCCTGGAAGGCTTTCATTGCCAACTTTTTTTCCATTGGGGAGTATTACCTCACTTCCTGTCCTGGTGCTCAAACAGGAAGTGAGGAGAACTCTCCAGTAGGGACACAGAAACCTAACAGAGGCTTCACATTCTTTAATGTTTTCCTACCATCTGTGCCCCCGTATGAGAGATTCTGCTCACTTTCTGTCTCGGTGAACACACAGGAAGTGAGGGAAAATCTCCCCCCTATAGCAAAAAAACCCCAAAAAACAGGCAGAGGTTCTATCCTTTTCCGCTCTGTTCACAGCAAATAAATCAAGTTTTACCTGGAGCTGACCAAATGATTCCCATAGAAGCATGAAGCAGCACAGGTACCGTTCAGTACGCAGAGGGAAGGATTGGTGGGGGTCACATGAACTAAGGTGCTCATAGACAAGGAAGGGCAGTCCATTGCATGGGCACCCTTCACCCTGAGGTCTGTCTATTGGCTGGCTGTATGCTTGGCTCACACCAGAGGCAGAGGCAGTGTGTGCGGCCATCAATCACATGAGGATTTCAGTCCTGCCAGTCCAAGATTGACTAGGCGGGTATGTGGCCCATATGCACTAACCAAATCCACCCAAAAATTGCCGGCTCCAGTTGTCCCGGCTGACTAATGATATAGCATTATTTTAACATGCTGCATCTTCCTCAACATGACACTGAAGTCATTCATATACAAGAAGAAGAGTCCCATCAAATGTACATTCCACCCTGCTGATCAGGAATAAAGATATTGCACGCGCGAGGGTCACCAATGGCATGATATACTATGATGGCGGTAGGGTG